AGGGAAGTTGAAATTACGTCTTGGGAAGCAATGCAATAGCTCCGCGAGGCCGGATCATATCATTTTGGGACAGTGCAGCTCTAATCATGTCACTGAGTGAATACATTTCATACTACTGATTTACTGTTAGTCTCGAAACACTTCTTAAACAGTAAAAAATAAGTAACATAGTCTATTGTTATGGCAAATACACGTTTGCTTCATCGACAATCCCACCAAAGAATATGATATGGTAAAAAAGACCTGGTCTTTGTTGAAATTCACATCTGCCTCGTGACCCAAGGGCACTCGTGGAAATGTGGCAGAGTGGTTAAATTGTCAAACGCACATTCTGCACTGTCGCGGTTCGACTCCCGCTGGGGTTGTTGCTAAGACCGAAGTGAGGTCAAGAGTTCACGTCGACTTCAGCCTGGACGAGAACAACTTTTGGGAAAGCAAGGCTTTGCTAAATTAAATGTGAACGTCAGCTCTACTCTTAGCAAAGTGGGAAATATCTTCTACCGGTCCTTCATCACCTCATACTACTGATTTACTAGTAGTCTCGAAACTAAATTCATTTATTCGGGATTGACGAGTTGCATAAATGATCCGAAAAAAGCGAGGAAGGCCTTAATTTGGCTCATTTTGAGTAGAAAATGATGCTCACCGTCCCGAAGAGTGCAGGCCCAGTAACCAGATACACGAAGCCGAGGCAAATGAGGCAAATGAGGCAATTCGAGGCGAATCACGCGGAACCGCCGGCCAAGGATCACAAATACATAGAACTGATCTCGACACGGCTTTTGAGCCTTTGATGTCTTGAACTGTCGGCCAGTAAACTTTGATGATGCAGCGAACAGGGGCTTAATGCGAACAGGGTTTGGCAGCAGTCACACTTTCTCCCACGAGGACATGACGGTAAAATCCACTCTTGCCTGACCCCTGGAACTCACAATGACCCACTTGTTTGAATGCGGTTAAAAGCCATGCCAACCTGAATCATTGGGTTTAGACGGGGAAGGGGGGCGGTGCAATGAAGAGAGGCATCCAATTCCAACTGGCCTCGAGTATCGGACGCAGATGAACCCTTCGTGGCACTCAGTTCTCCACTTGTGGCCAATTGTCGGCTCGACTTGAACACTTGATCACTCGGAAAAGTGGCCGAAGATTGTCGTCTAAGAGGCAGGGAATCGGCTGGATGCTGTGAATGTTATGCCATGCGGATGGGGAAATTGGGAGAAAAGTCTGCCTTAACTATTTCGAAGTTCGTGCTACAGCATTGAGTG